GGAGAGCTGGATACCTACCTGAAGTTGTAGAGCTCATGGAAGTGCTGTGTCCCTTCCCACATACCTCACCTCTTTATTTCCTTTATCTGGTACCGTTTGTAAGGTCATTTAAAATAAACTGGTAAAAGTAAGTAATTGTTTCCCTGAGACCTGTGAACCACTCAGACAAATTAAATCAAGTGCATAGAAGGATTGCGGGAACCCTGAAGCACAGGTAAAATAACTTGTGGGGCCTGTGACTTAAGTCTTAAGGTCAAGTTGTGGTGAGGTGACGGTCTTGGGCCTTACCTTGGGTCTTGTGGGGTCTGATGCTGTCTCTAGGTAGATAATGTGGGAACTGAATTGGATTAGAGGATACCCAGCTGGCATTTGCTGCTGTAGATTTGAATGCTTAATGTATATATATCTTATATTATCTCCATATATCTTATCAGAAGGCTTCTGTGTTGCTTGAATTACAAGGGCAGAGGAATTTTGCTGGGTGTGTCAGTGTACACCTGTAATCCCAGCACTTCAGAAACTGAGGTTTGAGGATTGCTGTAAATTCAAGGCCAGAGGACTGACTACTCAGTGCTTTTCAGGCTAGCCTGAGATATACTATCTTTTTTTTTTTTTAAAGGAAAACCAAGAAACTTTCTTCTAGCATAATACTAAATATACTTTTTATTTAATTAGTTAATTTTGTTTTGTTTTTGAAATAGTCTTGCTATGTAGGTCTAGGCTTGAACTCACTAATGTAGCCTGGATTGGCCTTGAACTTGGGGTGATCTTTCTGTCTCAGCTTTCCAAATGCTGGGATTACAGGTGTGCCCCATCACGCCCAGTTGCTATATATTTATTTATTTTTAAATTTTAAAATGGAAAGCATGAGATTGTGAGTTCAATCCCTGGTACCAAAAATAAAATAGAAGCTGGGGATTTAGCTCAGCGGCATAAGCGCCTGCCTTGCAAGCAGGCAGTCGTGAGTTCGATCCCCGGTACCGATAAAAAGCAAAACGACAAACAAAAAAATAAAATAGAAAAAGAATAAGAACGACTATAGAATTTCAAAATAAAACAATAGGAGAATAATAATGGTTGATACATTGTGTATTGTTATCTTCAAAACCAGCTTTTATTTATTTATTTTTTAAACTAGAGTCTCGCTTTGTAGTTCAGCCTGGCCTTGAACTGACTATGTGGTCTAGGCTGGCCTCTGTTTTTTTTTTATAGTAATATATAGTAATCTTGCCTCAGCCTCCAAAATGCTCAGGTTAGAGGCGGAGTCACCATACCTAATTTGTTTATTTACTTATGAACGTACTTTTGAAACTCTCACTGCTGTTTTGACTCTTCCTTCCTATTGGAAATCACTGCTGACCATTTACTCATAAGTAATTTTGGCTTGTTTTATAATTCCAATCAGACCTCTTCTGAGTCTAAGACCTGTGTCTGTCACTGCTTGTATATTTCTACCTGGGTGCCACAAGAGTGCTTTAAATTAAGTACACCATGAAGTGAATTTGATGTCTTCTGTGCAACCAGCTCTTCCAACCTTAACTGCTTTGAGATAGAGGAAAGGTACCACCTTTTCTTCAGCTGCTGAATTGCTCTCATTGTGTTAATCTCTAAACTCTTAACCCTTTTCCTGTCCACCCACCATTCTTGCTAGTGTACTAGCAAGAGTTTGTGACTTTATATACATCTTTTGTTTAGATTTTTATATACATCTTTTGTTTAGATTTTTAAAATGGCTCCTCTAACATTTCTCCAGACTCTGTTCTCTCTTCTAGCCCCTTTTAGGATGATGGTTTTGTAAAATATACTGTATCAATATTCCTGTTAAAACCTTCAGTGTTCTTTATTGTGTTCTACAGTAGGAGTTCTATTTGTCTTTTTCTTTTTAATACAGGGAATTGAAGCCAAGACTTCATACTGAGTTATAACCTCAGCCCGTTTTTTAACTTCTTTTGAGACAAAAAGTTGTTCAGTTACTCAGGCTGAGCTGAAATTTGAGATCCTCCTGCCTCAGCCTCCCATCTGTAGTAGTTTTTAATCAGTTTTAGCTTATGATCTAGGTAGAGTATCTTGTGAAAGAAACAGTTTTTCTCTTTGGAAAAAATGTGTATGCACTCAGAATTTGGGAACAGTTTTAAAAAGATGTCCACAAATGCTATTTATATACATGGTTAAAATAATTTCTGCTCTATTGGATAAAATTCAGACTAGCACATGTCTGTAATCTCAGCACCTGGGAGGCAGAGGCAGGAGGATTGATGTGAACTCAAGGCCAGCCTAAACTAGATGGCAAAGCCCTGTTTTAAAATGACACACAAATCAGACTAAAATCTTGTCAGATAACAAGGCACACTGAATGTTAACTGGTGCTTACTTTTGCTGAGTTAGTAGACCTATTTATATTTTATGATCTACCCATGGCAAATTTTTTAATTTTTGTGTAATTGTTTCAAAAAGCCTTTGTTCTAATGTCTTGATTTTTATATCTGAAATGCATCTGTTTCTGTCCCCTAGTTGGTTTATTTAATGACTACCTCATGTTCCATGGTTGGCTCAGACTTTATAAAGTCTTTTGTGATTTCTACTTTCTTTTTTTCTTTCCCAGATGGATTTGTTGGCTTTCTCTCTTAGGTTTTCCTCCTCTCATGAGTACTGGGTTGTATCATATCACTTATTGCTGTTTTTCTCTTTTTTTTGAAGTAAGGTCTACTATGTTGCCCAGCTGGCTTTTATCTAACTACTGAACTCCAGCAAACCTTCTGCCTCAGCCTCTTGAGTGTCTAGGACTGTAGGTGTTGCTTGACCTGTGTTCCTATTTGTCTCTGTATTTTTGGGTTTTTTTTTTTTTTCTAACTTGTTTGAAAATTGTTTAAGGTACGTTACTTATTAAATTTGTGGTTCTCTTTTTGTTTAATGCCTACAAAGTACCTTGTACTATAATTCAGGAAATAGAATACATGTTGAATGAACACAATGTTCAGAAGCAGGGTATAGTGGTACACACCTGTAATCCCATCACTCGGAAGGCTGAGACAGGACAATCAAGAGTTTAAAAGACCTGCTTATTCTATTTACTGAGTTCAAAGCTAGCCTAGACTTACAGTCCCAAGAGCATGAGAAAAAAAAAAAGAAAAAGAAAAAGAAAAAAAAAAGCTAGCCTAGTCTATATGAGAAGACGTTGTCTGGGAAAAATAAGTATTATTCTAAATTTCTAGATATAACTATACACTAAAATCTATGTGTGACTTTGTAAAATTAGTTTTCTAAACTATAGAGTAGTAATCTTCACATGAAAGTTTTATGTTGTAGGTGATGGGAAGTGACCTTAGAAACTGAAGAAAATTGGGTTCCAGTCTTGGCTCTTGTCAGTTACCTCCTGGTTGTAGACAATACAGACTGGTTTCAGCTTGCCTGCTTTTCAGGTGATGCTGTGACCCAGTGTGGCTCCTGAGGTTCTTGGGCCAAGGACTGGGAAAGGATGAGAAAAATACAAGACAAAGCTGGGGTCAAGACAAAGTTGATGGGAGGAAAGGTACTGCCCAACCAGTGCGGCATGTTTATTTTATTATTTATTTATTTATTTTTTCTTTTTTCTGGGAATTGAACTCACGACCACCTGCTTGCAAGGCAGGTGCTTATGCCACTGAGCTAAATCCCCAGCCCCAAGGCATGTTTATTTATACCCTCCAGAGAAGACTGTCAGTTTCAACCCCACTGCCTGGCAACTGGTTTGCCTGGCTGGCCTGGGCCCCTTGTCTTCTTGGTGCTAGAACAACTTGTGTACATAGCTTGTTTTGTTCTGTTTTTTCTGGACTGGTTTGCTTTAGTCCCACATATGTGATTAGTCTCCAGCTTTAATGGCTCCCTACCAAAGTGGTGCTTCTGTGCTTCAAACCTAGGGCCTCTAACATTCTACACAAGTGCTCTACTACTGAGCCACATTCCCGGATTTCGTCTTTCCTAAGCAGAAAAGTAACTTATGGGAAGGATGTTTGGTAGCTCAGGAAATGAATGGGAAAGCTGGGAAATTAGCCTGGAGCAACAGGCAGGATACTTGGGAGAAACAGCTGTAGACTTGGCAAGGGTCAGTCCATGGGAATAGGATAGTTAGGACACTGCTGCTGGACCATTGTCCTGACCTTGCTGAAGTGTACTGTCCATTCTGAATTATCTTTAAGTCATTCCAGATTCCAGATCCTATATTGCAGGTACGGGTGTCACATATTTGTTTGTACAGAAAAATGGGAGAAAAGATGGCCCAGTTTTTGTAGCATAGGCCAAGGGATTTCTGTTTCCAACCAAGGATTATAGAGCCCGGACTGCTCCAGAGTAAGAAATTGGGTTCAGATGGCAGACAGGCAAAAAATAAAGAAAACACAAGGGCAGATGTCTGTTACAGTGCTGCCACTGCCTGGTACCTGATCGACTTTAGAAAACTTCTCTTTCTGAGCTTCCTTTTTGTTGTTTCTTTAAAACATCCTCCTCCCACCACCTTTTGCAATTGCAAAGTTTAATTGCAAAGAAAAAAGTAAAAGTGAAGGATGAGGGAGAAACTGGTTCTGCACAGTGAGTTTGGCCCAAGTAAAAGAGCAAAAAACAAAGAGCAAAAGATGAGCACCCTGGAGGAAGTAGTATAGGCTATCTTAGGAAAAGCCACAATAGCCTTTTTTTTTAAACAAAACAAAACACAACACAACACCTAAATCACTAATTTGCTCAGACTGGGCTGAAACTTGCAATCCCTCTGCCTCAGCCTCCTAGAGTGCTGGATTAGAGGCATTTGCCACCATGCCTGGCTGAGTTTCCAAACTTTTCTTATACATAAAATTTTAATAGTATCCTCCCAATGTTGAATAGTAGTAGCAAAAAAGTAAGATAAAATATTTAAAGAATGTGGTTGATACAACTTTCGTTCCTCTGATGCAAGCTATAACACATTTTCCCTTTTTTGGAGTATGTATCAGTGATCTTCAAATATCTTTTTTTCTTTCTTTCCTTTTAAGAGTAGGAAGAATTTATTGAGATAAAGGAAGCGTCTGTTTAAGAGGGACAGAAGAGGGCCTGGAAAGTGGGTTTCCCACCAACTCTGCTTCTCAAGGGTGTTTACTGAGTAAAGCCATGAGGTGAGGCAAGTGCAAGGTGGGACAAAACTTACCTTTGTAAGGTTACCAGGGTAGTCACCTGGGTAATACTGATCCTGTGGGAAATCACAAAGTGGGTGTGACGTGGGACAAGACTGTGGTAAACCAATAAGCTTACAACAGGTATAGTCGCTTGGGGAGTGTGGATTAAATGGGGATCAAATTGGGAAGCCTGTCCCACAGCAAGTGTGCATTAAAATACCTTTCTGATGTTTATGAGAACTGTTCAACTTCTGGGTTGGTCTAGGTCCTGCTGTTTTACATATTGAGTCTTTTTAAAAATCTAGTAGTAATTGCTCTTGAAATAGAAGCAAGAGGGACATTTAAATATTGAACCAAGATTCCTTTGGTAGTATAAGAAAATAGTGATACTAGTAGCAACTGTGAATGTACTGTTTCTTGGTGATGGAAATTGAACCCAAGACGGTGTGCATTGTAGGCAAGTGACCTACTAGACTCTCTCAGCCTGATGGACTTTTAAAATTTACACACACACATACATTTTTTTGAAATGGGGTCTTTCTGTGTAGTTCAAGCCAGCTTTGAACTCATTATGCAGCCCAATGTGACCTTTAACTCATGGGGATTCTCCTGCCTCAGCTTTCTGAGTGTTGAAACTACAAGTGTGTACCACCTCACCCAGCTATGGACTTTTTTCCAAAAAGATAGTAGCCATTCTCAGCAGATCTTTATATAGAGATTCTTTGTGTTTCAGTTTTGGTGGGGAGTCCTGGGGATTGAACCTGGGACCTTTATACTGAGCTATACTCTGGCCCATTTTTTTCCTTTTTTAGTTTGAGACAGTGTCTCATAAATCACTCACTTGCCCAGATAGGCTTAAAATCCTCCTGCTTCAGCCTGCTAGAGTGCTGGGAATACAAGTGTGTCTACCATTCCTGGTATGAGTTTCAAATTCTTCATTTTCTCCCATTCACCAACATAGTACATTTCTCTTAGTTGTCAGCTGCAGTTTGAAAATACTAAATGTGTAATCCCAGCACTTGGGAGCAGGAGGATTGCTGTGAATTCGAGTCCAGCCTGGGATGCAAAATGAGCTCAAAGACAGCTGAACTGCATAGTGAAACCTTGACTCAAAAAAGACAAATAAATAAATAAATGGTACTGGGGATTGAGCCTAACTTGTTCCCATTGCTAGTGCTTTTATTTTTTACTTTGAAAAAGGGTTTCACCAAGTTGCCCAGGCTGGGCTTGAATTTGAAATCATTCTGCCTCGGCCTCCCAAAGGCTGGAAATTACAGGCGCGTACCACCATGTCCAGAAGGCAAATTTAAAACCTACTGAAACAGTAGGTTTTAAATTGCACACCATTCTGAGTAGCATGCTGAAGTCTTGCATGTGCAGCCCAAGGAATGGTTACCCTTTTGGCTAGTGTATCCGCGGAGTATTTGCTGCCCACTTGGCAGCTGTCTTTTCTCTCAGATGCGCTGTCTTGGTATGGCATAGCTTTCATTTAAAGGTACCTTACATTACTTCAGTATAGCTCCAAAGAGCAGGAGATGTTAGCAAAGATGTTAGCATAGAGAGCTCCTTTAATAAGGGAAAAGTAAATGTTTCCAGGTTAAGGAAAGACTGAAAATAACATATACTGAAGTTGCTAAGATTTGTGGCAAGAGAGAAACAGTGTTTTTAGGGCTTGGTACTGGTACGTGTGAAACAAGGAAGAGGGGCATGGTGGCACTCCAGTATCTGGGAGGCTGAGACAGGAGGACCAGTAACTCAGTAACTTACTAAGACCCTTTTTCAAAATAAAAAAAATTTTTTTTTAACTTTTTTTTTGTCTTTTTCCTTTTTATCGGTACCAGGGATTGAACTCACAACTGCCTGCTCGCAAGGCAGGAGCTTATGCCGCTGAGCTAAATCCCCAGCTCCCAAAATAAAAAAATTAAAGGCTGAGACTGTAGCTCAGTGTAAAGGCTTTGGATCAAGTACCACACAGACATACAATTAAGTAAAATGTAATGTACATAGAATTTGGTACTCTTAGTGATTTTAGGCATCACCTGAGGATCACGGAGTGTATCATTCATGGATATAGAAGGTTCAAATGATGTATTTGTTGAAGTCTTTTTTTTTTTTTTTTTTTTGGTACCGAGGATCAAACTCGACTACCCACTTACAAGGCAGGCACTTGTGCCACTGAGTTAAAACCCTGGCCCTGCTGAAGTCTTTTGTTTTGCTTTGTTTTTCTTTTTTTGGTCTTTTTCCTTTTTATCGGTACCGGGGATCGAACTCACGACCGCCTGCTTGCAAGGCAGGTGCTTATGCCGCTGAGCTAAATCCCCAGCCCCTCTGCTGAAGTCTTAAAGGAGTTTCTTTTTTAAGAAACTAAAGTTAGCCAGTTGCAGTGATGCATGCAGGAGGCTGAGGCAAGAGAATCATGAATTTGAGACCAGCGTGGTCTACATAGTGAGTTAAGTACCAGCCTGCACTATATATCCATCCCCTGTTTTAAAATAATTATAAAATATAGTAAATAAAATAGAAACCACAGTTATTTGAAAAGCTTAATGGCACATAAAAAATTTATGTGAAAGTTATTAAAGTATATGGTAGATAAAACAGCTCCCCAGGTCCATCAGAAACAGTGAGAGTTATGGGGTTCATTAGATGTAATTAGGATGCCTAGTGAAGAGATGCAGATTAAAGCAGTGTAAGTAAAGTCCCAGAGTGTATGGTCCACTCAAGGACCCAGGTTGTGTCTGGTTGCTTTGGCCTCCTCTGTTGTGGTGCCCCTTGAATGTCAAACCAGGGTCAGGGCCACATGCACATTCAAGAGGAGGAAGGAGGAACATCTATGGTGTAGGGCTCACAAATTTCACTTGTAACGTCTCACAGCTCTCTGGGTCAGGCTGATCTTAGAGGACACTGAGCTGTGAGGAAGACTGTGACCTGTAGTCTCTACCTACATGGCTTTGGGTCTCGCTAAATTTTTCTTTATTACTAAAAGAACAGAACATACACTAGGGTGGACGTGAAGGATGTCACTGTGTGTGTTTGCCACATAGGTGAAAACAAACCAGGAAGAAAAAAAGAGTTTGCTTTTGATGTGAAATCTGGGTATATAAATTGCCATTTTCCCTGGGCATGGTGGCACATGCCTGTAATCCTAGCTCTTGGGAGGATGTGACAGGAGAATCACAAGTGTCGGGCCTGCCTGAGCTACACATGGAGTTTGAGGTCAGCCTGGGCTACCCAATGGTACCTTGTCTCAAAAACTAAAAAGTAAATAAATAAATTGCCACTTACATGCAAGTTAAATAGTTCACATTTTGAAAGATCATCAGAAAGAAAATTCTGAGACACAGTTATGTTGTTACTCAGTTGAATAATTGGAATCAGTGGGAAAATGTACTGTCATGTGATGAACTGAAGAAACTCTTCTGTTTTTAGGTCTGACACATCTATAAGTAGACCTCTGGGAAACTCTGCCAGTCAAGTCAATGGCGTCTTCTACTACAGTGCCTCTAGGATTTCACTATGAAACCAAGTATGTGGTTCTCAGCTACTTGGGACTCCTTTCTCAGGAGAAGCTGCAAGAGCAACAGTTTCCCTTATCTCAAGGTATTGTCTTTGGATTCCGGTGGTTACATCAGTTCTAATGAGGCTTCAAATGTAGAAGTGTTGGTTTCTTTGTGATTTATATCTACAGTTATAAGACAGCTAATATTGATAAGTTTATTTAGTTTTTGAGCATGCAAATAAATAGAAGCTGATCTGTCTTTTACTCTTAAGAGTAAGAGATTTTACTCTTAAAGTTAGAATTGTATAATTTTGCAAGTCTATAATCCCAGTGCTTGAGAGGCTGAGGCAGGGAGGATCATAAGTTTAAGGGGAGCTAAGGATTGAATTCGGGGCCTTGTGCACATTTAGTAAGTTCTCTGCAACTGAGCTACATCCCCAGCCCTCTTTATTTTGATACAGGATTTCCCTAAGTTGCCCAGGCTGGCTTAGTCTCTCAGGTAGCTGAGATGATAAATGTAGTGGCATTCTATACAATACATAATTATTGTTAAACTTTAAAAAGTATGGGTCTTTTTTTGGGGGGCGGGTAACAGGTTGAATTCACAACCTCATGCTTGCCAGGTAGGTACTTGTGCTGCTGAGCTAAATCTAACACCCTAAAATTAAGGTTCTTTAATTGACTTTATTTCAGTGGTAATTAGTTTATACAGTCATTTCGTATGTCTGTTAGACTCAGAAATTTTAGAGGCTTGGGACAATGCTCACTGGTAGAGTGCTTGCTAGGCTTGGCATATATAAGGCCCTGGGTTCAGTCCTCAGCACTGAAAAAACAAACTGACCAAGCAAATCAAATCAAACAAAACAGAACAGAGATGTTAGCACAGTTCTTTGTATTAGGCAGTTGTGTGTATCCATCTTGTTTTCTTTGGGTAATGGGAATGGAACCCAGGGCCTTGTGCATGCCAGCCAGGTGCTTTTCTCTGAGGCGTCCCCCAGTCACTCCACGCCAGGCTTACAGGACAGAATTAGTGCAGAATTGGTTTTCTTCATTACAAGTTATGTCATCTTAAATATTTATTTAGCAGTACAATTGTATAATTATTGTATAATTGTACAATGTTTATTTTATAAGTAAAGTTGTACTATTTTATAAATAGTACAATTATTTATTTAAAAGTACAACTCTTGAGCGTGTTGTACTTTTGGAAGTCAAATCCTTTTTTTTTTGTATGTGTAGTAGTAGGAAGGAAACCTAGAGCCTTGTGTATGGTAGGTAAGTACTGTACCACTGGACCACATGTCCAGTTTCTGAATCAACTTAAATACCCTAAGGTGGGTACTTAATAAACTACTTAAATAAAATTATATCAAAAATGACTTAAAAATTTTTTTTTGAGGCAGAGTCTTGCTCTGCAGTACAGGCTGCCCTTGAACTTACTATGTAGCTCAAGCTGGTCTTAAGCTCACAGCAATCCTCCTGCCTCAGTCTCCCAAAAGGTGGGATTACAAGTGTATGCCACCATATCTAACTAGACTGGATTTTGTCAGTTTGGTTGTGTTTTTTTCTTTGTTTTTATTTTTGGTAATACTAGAACTTGAACCCAGAGAGCTTCTGTAATAAGTTACATCCCTAGCATTTTTGTGGGGGGGTCTTTTTTTTTTTTGTCCTTTTCCTTTTTATCAGTACTGGGGATCGAACTCACGACTGCCTGCTTGCAAGGCAAGCGCTTATGCCACTGAGCTAAATCCCCAGCCCCTTTGTGGGGGTCTTTTTCTGACAAGGTCTAATGTGTAGTTTAGGCTGGCTGACTTTGAGCTCACTTTGTATCCTACCCCACGCTGGTCTCAAATGCTCAACGGTTGTCCTGTCTCAGCTTCCCAAGTGCTGGGTCTTACAGGCCTGTGCCACCATACTGGGCACCAGTCCTGTTTAATTAAAAAAAATTTTTTGGGGGGGTCTTTTCAAGGATTTCACATTCAATTTAGGCTGGCCATGAACTCACTTTGTAGCCCAGGCTGTCCTCACAGCAGTTCTCCTGCCTCAGCCTCCTGAGTGCTGGGATTACAGGTGTGTACCACCACACTTGGCCAGTGTTACTTTTTATTTTGAGATGGGGTTTTAGTAAATTACTTTGGCTGGATTTGAATTTGGAATTTTCCTTGCCTCAGTCTCTCAGAGGGCTGGGATTTCAGATACCTGTTACTACATCTGACTAGAAAGGATTTTGTTTTTCAGTCCTGGGGCTCAAACCCAGTGTCTTGCACGTTAGACAAGTGCTCTGCCACTGAACAACGTGCCCTGCCCCTGACTGTATTTCTTTTTTTTTTTCTTTTTCGTTTTTATCGGTATCAGGGATCAAACTCACGACTGCCTGCTTGCAAGGCAGGTGCTTATGCCGCTGAGCTAAATCCCCAGCCCCCTGACTGTATTTCTTAACATTGCCTGTCTCAGCCAGACCTGCTCTTAATACTTATGTGTTTTGCTCATTATTGACTTGTTCTTTTTTTTGTCTTTTTCATTTTTATCGGTACCGGGGATTGAACTCATGACCGCCTACTTGCAAGGCAGGTGCTTATGCCGCTGAGCTAAATCCCCAGCCCCTGTTCTTTTTTTTTTAATTGGTACCGGGGATCGAACTCACGACCATGCACTTGCAAGGCAAGTGTTTATGCTGCTGAGCTAAATCCCTAGCCCCTACCGACTTGTTCTTTAAAACCAGGCTCCAGGCTTACTCCTGACTTTTTTTTCCACTCAAGCTTTGGTGCTCTAGAATGGTAGACACTTGTGATAGTAATGACTAACATCCATGTCTGTTTCTTTTCTGGGCCTGTAGAAAGTTGCTTTTAGCTGGAGCCATGCTACTAGTCCTAACAATGAAATATGAACAGAAGTGGTTCATAGACTATGGCCTTTATGAGCCAAGATGCCTTTTGCCTGTTGTTTTTCCCCTGCTTTGTTGTGTGTGTCTGTTGTAGACAAGGAACATTCATTTTCATGACAGAACCACTGTTAGGCTGGATAGCTGAGTGACTGTGTAGAGCAAGCTCCTTGCCATCCAGTTCTCCAGGTTAAACGCATAACGTAAGGGAGAGATGGGTCTTCCACATAAGCAACTAAAATTCCTGCTCTGTTTTGTTACTGCAGCATAGACTAACCTAACATAATTAATGTACTTACTATTGTCTTTGTGCTGCTATAATAAAGTACAGTACCTTAGACTGTATAATTTCTAAATGATAGAAATTTCATTGCACGGTTCTGTAGTCTGGGAAGTCCCAAGATGGGGTTGCTAACAGGTTCACTGTCCAGTGAGGGCCTGTCTCTGCTTCTAAGTGGTTCCTTGCATGCTGTATTCTCCCAAGGGAACACAGGCTGTGCGCTCACATGGTGGAAAGAACAGAAAGGTAGAGTGACCTAGCTGGTCCCCTCCCAAGTGCCACTTCATTCCTAAGTGCAGTGCTCTGTTGGGCTTGTCACCTTCCAAAGACCGTACCCCTAACTATTCAGGGAGGTTTAAGTTTCAACGTCAATGTCAGAGAGGACACACACATGTGGACTGTAGCACCACATACACATAATATGGTCAGCAGTTGTCTGGTTTGCCCAAGATTAAGTAAAATTGGGGAAACCCTGGGCAAACAGTTAAGTGGTCACCGTAAAAAAGACATACTTTCTGAATTGTGCTTATTTGTATTATTTCCTAAACAGATTCCATAATCCACAAAACTAGCTCTTTTCAACCTTTGTGATTTACAAAATTTGGGAGGACTTTAGGGATTTATGTACCTGTATTTACATGATTTTCCTTCCTCCTGTAATCTCAGGCAGTGTTTTGTTTTGTTTTGTTTTGAATACAGGGTCTTGCTATATAGCCCAGGAAGGCCTTGAATTACAGTGTAGCGTAGGCTGGTCCTGAACTCATAGCAATCCTCTGCTTCAGCCTCCTGAGTGCTAGGATTACCTGCATGCGCCACCATGAATGAATTTTAGAGCTGGAATATGATCGTTGCTGACTCATCTGACTCTTCATTTAGAACTGAAGTTCTAAATGACCTGAGGTGCTAAAGTCTGTTTATCTTTGAAATATTTTCTCTTGGGTTTATAGTGCAGGATTTACGCCGTATTGGCCCTACTATGTAGCGCCATCCTTTAGAAAGTTTGTTGGAGAGGATTAATTAAATGAAAAATCACTGACTCTGTCTGTGTCATTGGTTAGCTAAGTAGCCTTTTGTACCCTAACAGCCATAGACTTTGCCTGGTTTAGGCTTTCCACATGACTTATTATCAGCTATGACAACTTGTCCTGTTTAGTCATCATCACATTAGTCTCATGAGAATAGGTGCTCCTCTGATCAGCTGCTTTCCTTTAATCTGGGGGGTGAGGCATAAGGTGACTAAGACATGATTGTGATTTACTTTATAGGATGTTGGTGAAAGTGGTACTGTTGATGGGATGTGTAGGTGTGTTTTAGGTATGCAGATTTTGTAAAAAGAGGCAGATGACAGATGGCAAAGCATCATACATTCCTTATTTGTCACTGTATGTCTAAAATTATCGCTTTCTAGCATTCAATAATAGCATTTCTTTTTGTCCTTCAGTCATTTAAGTAGCCTTACCATGTATGGAAACAGACTTTTTTTGATAACTGATTATTTAATTCCTCTGAATTTATATGTCACTTTTTTGTTTTGCCTATGAAAGTGACATATAAATTCAGAAAGGCTTCTTACTTCTCTTTAATGCAGTAAGGCTTTAATCTGTGTGTATTTGTCTGCATGTTGTAAGACTGGGAGTCGGCATCGCAGAAGGTACTCTATGCTGGACATAAGTCTTAGACAAAGGAAATATATCAGAGTCCTTATCTGGTCAGAAATGTGATAAAGATATCAAGCAATGTAGTACAGTATATATATATTTAAGTGTTAAATTATGTGGCACAGACTAAATGTTTCACTGACCTTTAAAAATAGTCACTGAAGGGGCTGGGGATTTAGCTCAGCGGCATAAGTACCTGCCTTGCAAGCAGGCAGTCGTGAGTTCAATCCCTGGTACCGGTAAAAACGAAAAAGACAAAAAAAAAAGTCACTGAAGACATCG